AAAGAAAAACTTTAATCCAGTAACAGAATTTATTTTTAGATAAAGGTAATTTATTTTCTCTTAATAATTTAAAAATCCCTAAAAATATTTATCTAAAAAAACAAAACAGTTTATTTTCTTAAAAAATAAAAAATAAAAAAATAATAATAAATTTAAGAATTTAGATTTTAGTTCTAATTTAATGATTTAAAAAAATATAAGTAATTAAATTTAAAGTTAATTTAATAACAAAAATGCAAATAAACACTTAGAATAAGTTTTGATAGTCTATCCCTTTTTTTTGAAATAAAAATCACAACAAAAAATATAATAAGAATATTGTATTTAGATTTAATTTTAGATTAGAATGTCTTAGGTTTTTTTTAGAATTTTAAATTCTTTACCTAATATTTCTTCATGTCCCACTAAATTAATCTCTAAGAAAATCTCTAAGCTTAAAATGTTTGTTAATTTTAAAAATAATTTAAATCCGTTAACTAATTTTTTTCTATTAACTTAATAATTTTCCCAAGAACTCAAAAACAATTAATTTCTTTAGTTCCAACTTCACCGTTACACTTGAATCTTTATCCAAAATTTTAGCATCTTCCCATTACATAAAAATTCTCAAAAATAGATAAATAATCAACTCCTAATTCAAATCGATCACCATTCACTATTTGACCCCCGTGTCAACTCTCACCCTAGCCTTAGGATTCGAGTCCCCGTACTCACCTTTTAGGCGTCCCACCGGGAACATACCTTCGTCCTTTTCATTTTAACTTTTAACGTAGAGTAGGAGTCTCCGCACTCCAAACAAGCGCTTCCTTATGAACGTTTGTATCCCTTTGGAACTTTGACCACAGTCAAAGAACTCCTTAACCCTTTAGGGGAACTACAGATACTCTGATTCCACTCCCGTAAGAATATGTAGACATAAGATGTGACATCTTATCGAGTATACTTAGAAATAAACCCCTAGGTCTTCCATCTTTAAGCAGGTAAACCTTAGCAATAAACAACATAAAACAAGAGGTTCCTGTAGAGTACTACAGAAACTTAGGATGCTAGCACCTTCCCTAAGTTTAACCAATCCCGAACCTATAACTCTCTAGCTTGCATTTGCATTGCATTGTGGGAATTTCGATCTTTATCCCTTCCTTTGGACAAATCAAAGTTCGGTTGCAAATGAATAAGATTCAAGCTCATTAAATAGCTTGGTATCCAAATTTCACCACGACAATCTGCTGTAATCACACATTCTTGCAACCTTGCAGGCATGTGTCTTGTTCGTCGAGGTCTGCTTGGTCCAGCTTCATCTCAGACTTGTTCTTGTCGAACTTCACTTTTAACTTCAGTGGTTGGTTATTCACAAGAGATTCTCACTAAATCCTTTTTGACATTCTCAATCCAATCCCATTCTTTAAGCTCATTTATGATCACATCCCTGCTGATCACTACCTGCTTATTCACTGGGTCGAACAACTTGTAACCTCCAATCCAATGATATGCTATTAAGATCATCTGACTCGACTTATCATCAAGCTTCCTTCTCAACTAATCTGACACATGTTTATATGTTATAGATCCAAACACATTCAAGTGACTGAGGCTAGGCTTGACACCAGACCAACATTGTTCTGGTGTGATTTCTTCAAGCTTCTTCATCGGACATCTGTTTAATATGTATGTTGTTGTCGAAACCACTTCTCCCCATAATTATTTGGGTAGATGCTTTCCATTCAACATACTTCTCACCATATTCATGATGGTTCTGGTCTTTCTTTCTACAATTCCATTTTGTTGTGGAGTGTAGGGTGGCACCACCTCATGCACAATCCCTTCTTTTTCACATGATGCATCGAACTCTTTCAACATATACTCTTCACTACCATCAATCCTCATAATTTTCAACTTTCGACCACTCTGTCTTTCGACCATAGATTTGAATCTAGAAAATACCTCGATCACATTACTTTTCTTCTTGATGAGGTAAATCCATAACTTTTGACTGTAATCATTTATGGACGTGACAAAGTATATGTTGCCTGCAATCGAATCCACCTAGATTGGACCATATACATTAGAGTATATGACTTCCAGAATTGCCTTCGACTTCCTTATAAATAATTTTGTATAAGATATTTTTATTATAAAATTAAAAAAATATTAACTGTATTTTCATAAGTCATTTTGAACAATTTTTAAAATAAACTCAAAACGTTTGTGAAAATATTATAAACTATTTTGATAAATATTTTAAAATAATATTATAAAATTTAAGACATGAGATAATTCAAAGGATTGGTGTTATGAGATTGAATAGAATGAAATGAATGTCAATAAATTAGATTGTATTGTTTAAATTTGTAAATATTAGATGGAATGGAATGAAATATTATTATAGTTCAATTTAATTTGTATTTATAAATCTGTCTTGTAAAATGATGAATGTCATTTTATATAAATTTTTATAAGATTTTATGCCTAACTAATGAGATTTAATATTTTTTTAATACACTCTTTACGTTGAGTATTTTTTTTTGGGTTTGATGCATAAATATTAATTGTGGACGTCTCATGGTCAGATCGATAAATTTTGATATTATATTAGAGTTTGACATCAATAAATTTTGATATTATAATAGAGTTTAGTCCAACTCATTTTTATAATGTTAGAGGTATCACTCCATCTTTCAATGCTTTATATCCAATCAATATAAAACTTGGATTTTGTCAATAAATATGATGGAATCCATTCCAATCTATTTTCATCTAATTGTTTTCTTTTAATTTTAAATATATATAATGAAATAAAATAATCAAACAATAAAGTGAAATTTATATTTTATTTCACTTTGCTAAATTCTACTCTTTCCGTTTTAAAATAACTATCATTTAAGATTTTTGCATACAGATTAATGGATGTCTTGATATTATCATAAACTATTGTATTTTTATTAAATTAATTTTATTAATGTGTTAAAAATAATGTACAAAAGAATAATTATATGATACAGGTAAAAAAATAATAATAATTATTATATTAAAAAGTGAGAATGACATTCATTTTAAAATAATTTTTTTCTCTAAAACGACATTTATTTTAAACCGAAAGAGTATTATATTATATTCCAAACTATTCTTCTCTCTTTTGTTCTATCTATTCAAAGATAGTCTTAATAATTAAATATTGAGAGGATGTGATTTTTTTAATCCATTTTAATATCTTATATTTCTTTATTGGTAATTAATTGTATAAAATATTAAAATTGCTAGTAAAAATAGAGAACTAACGTCACACAATTGTGATACCTAAAAGAATAAAAAATACAATTAAATCTATAAAAAGAAAATCAAGTAAGATATTAAATAAGATTGAAAAAGAAAAAAAAAAGTCATTTATTAAGAAAGGAAAAGAAAACGGTTACTCATATAAACTTAATTACAATATATTTTTTATAAATAATCTATAAGTAATTATGTAAGTTTTTTTAAACTTGAACTCTGTCTAATGCAGATGAGTTTTAGGAATCCTATTTATCTAAATTTTCTATAATATAAAACTTATTTTTTTAATGAATAATTTCACATATTTACCGAATTTATTGACACTACCAACCACTTGCATATGATTAATGTGATGAGAATGACTCAATAAATAAATATTTTATTTCTTTAAACTTAAATACTATTTTAATAAATAAAAATGATTTTAAATGTCATTTTTATATTTTTAATGTATACCTTTTTTATTATAATATATAATATATTTTTATATATTATATTTTATATCATTACGATGAAACACATCAATTGTCAACATAATAAATTTAGTAAAAGTTGCATATTTTTCAAAAGTAATTACTTTTCTTAATTTATGAATTAAAACTTTAAACAACGTTACCTTTATTTTTTTTATTGATAATAATTATGGTCTTATCAAAAAAGTATTTGAAAAATTGAAATCATGAGCGAAAAGCAAAGAAGGTGGAGAGAATCTAGATATATTTGTTTTTGTTTAGTGATATAAAAAAAGTATAAAAAAAATAGTGTACATATATAAATGGTAAAGAAAAGAAGAGAGAGAAGTGATAGAAAAGCAGAGAATAAAAAGAGACCGGATGTTGACAAATTTCATGTCACTGTTTTTATAAGGTCGTTTGTGTTAACATTTCTTATCTCGGATCTCTCTCTTTCTTTCTCTTTCTCTCTCTAAAATTTTCTTTCTGTGTTTTTTTTTGTTGAGAGAGAAAGAGATATAGATATAGAGAGAGAAACAAGTGTGGCTGGCTGGCCCAGTAGATCGAAATCTTCTATTTTTCTTGAACCTGATGACGATCTAAGCTTCTTCAATGGTCTTCCAACAACACCCACTTTGTTTATTTCTCTAATTATTTTTATTTTTATAATAGAATTTATTTTTGTTTTTTAGTGTTAGTTACCTTTTTTCGGTTTTAAATAGTGAGAATCTAAAAGCCCCTGAATTCCTTTTTGCTTCTCATGGTGTTTCTGCTATTCTCTTCAATGGTAGAATCCATGTCACAGATTCTTTAGAACCAAGTGTTATCAAGATGTGGCTTTGAGGTAAATTTACTTATTAATAACCACTCTCTCAAAATTATTATTATTATTGTTGAAGGAGTGTTGTGGTGTTTAATTTTAGTATTTCAAATGATTCTTTAACATTTGTGTTTGGTTTGGTTTAGACAATTGTTGTACTAGATCTGTTTGATTCTATTTTGTTTTATGCTTGGTTCTTTTGTTTGTGTTCTATGATGTTTGTTTCACTTAGAATTCAGTTTCCTAATATTGCGGCTGAGTTTATGGTGTTCTTGTTTTGAAACAGTTCAACTATTCAAGAGATATTTTTCATTTCATTGATATTGATATGTGTGATTTTGAAATGCAACAACTCTTCATAAAAAATTTTGAAAGTTGCAATCCTGTGAAAGTGGTTTTGCTGATATGCTTAAAACTGACATGAATTGATAAGTCACTTTTATGATTGTTTATCAGAAATGGGAACCAAGGTTCAGAATCTGTCGGGATATTACTCGATGATGAGAGATCTTAATGAGGAATCCAGTAGCTGTGGTTGGCCGTTATTTTACAGAGATAAAACACCGATAAACGGGAAGTGTTATGAAAATTATCTTCCAAGTGTCGCCTCCGATGCATGTTCTGTGGATGATAAGGATGTTGTGAAGCGGATGATGCTTGAACACGAGGCGGTATTTAAGAATCAGGTTTGTTGCTTATAGTATAGTTTCTAGCTTTCGTTTTATCTTTTGTTGTAGAAAAAGCTTATGCATAATAAGCACTTTTATTGTCAAGCAGGTTTATGAACTCCATCGCTTATACAGAATACAAAGAGATTTGATGAATGATTTCGATAGGAGAGAGTTACACAGAAATCAGATACCTGCCGAGGCTTCGTTTTCTCAAGTAACAACTGAGGATGGAAGAAAATGGCATGTTTCTGGCATTCCTGCGGGAAATTCGGCTTATGCTAAACCATCTGTTTCAGGTGCTGCAGGTGTTCATTCTCCTTTAGGTTTTATTCAAGGAACAAGCAACCAAGCTTGTCCGTTTCGATCCCCAGATGTTGGTGTGATCGAGTCCACCAGACCGTCAAAGGTGAGAAGAAAAACGTTTGACCTTTCGCTCCCTGCTGATGAAAACGTTGATTCTGACGAAAGCAATGAGAAGCTCAGCGACGAGAAGACAAGTGGTTCAACGTTTTTTCTTGCTGATAAAAGTTGTAAAGTTGGAAAGGAGGATGATGGTGGGAAGGCTTGTTGCCGGGACACTTCAAGAAATCGTTTGGCTGACTTAAATGAACCAGCTCAGGTGGATGAAACATATGATTCTTCTTATATTCGTGTTCCAAGTAATTCAGTTGCCGCAACTGAATGTTTGGATCTCACTGCCAGTGCCAAACAGAAGACCCGGTTTTTTGGTTTGTCTAGGGAACACTTACTGGACTCGAGCCGTGGAACTCACAGTTGGGCTCGAAATGATGGATATTTGGAGAATAATGGGAATGAAGAAAGGGGAATTTCATCAGGAGCTGAAGCAGGTTAGTCTTATCGAGTTGCTTTGATTTTTTTCCTGAAAATAAGCTATTAAGTTAGTTTGGCATCTGATTAAATTTTTGTCATGAAAATAACGTTTCTTATGTCGACAGCGCATGCGAAAAGTAACCTACAGCCTATGTTGAATGTCTTCAAACCGGAGAAATCACTTTTATCTTCCCAAACAATGCAGCATACATACAGCAAAGCTCATGAGCCTGCATCCAATTATCTTGATGGTCGAAGCAAGGCTGATACGTGGAGTGAAAAGACTGTCAGTGAAATAAATCACGAATACTTCGTTAATAAACATCCCGAGTCTGATTTACCTTTATATAGACCCGGTCATATTCCATTTGCTCCATCCTATGATTTATCGAAGTCTTGGTCTCATTCTGCTGCTTCTTGGGGAAAGGCGAGTTGCAGCCTAAACCAGAAGTTGATGTCGGTTAAGACGCCTCCATATCCAAATGCACCCGGCTCCATCAATAGGAATTTGGAAGAGTTTTGGCATCTAAATACAAATTCCAAGCCTAATCCAAGTATTCCATGTCATGCACCGTTACGGAACGGATCCGTATCCAAGGAACCATCAATGAACGTGTCTTCCATTAGTTATGACTACCCGAATCATAACAATGACAAGAATTCTGGAAAAGGCATTGACTTGAATGCGATTCTTTCTAATGGTTCTTACAATAATAACTTAGTTCCTCAGTCGAGTGTTGGAATAATGGAGGGAGATGCGATGTCATGGCTTAGAGCGAAGAATGCTCGTAAGAATGAAGCACGGAACACTGATAGAAGCTCCATTACTGCAGGAGAGACAAGTTTTCTTCAGACTGCTTCGTTGTTGTCCGTGAAAGGTGAAACTGGAAAGGTTACACACGGTGTAACTTCGGTTTCATGCTCTAATACTCTTGATCAAAGGAGGATTGAATTAAGTGAAAGCTCTAGTAATAAGAAAATTCTCGGTGTTCCAATATTTGATATGCCTCGTAGTTCTCTGAAGAAGGAGTTGTCGTCAATCACTTCTCCCTCGGTGTCGATTCCTACAATGTCCGATCCAAAAGCAATGGAAAATAAGCACAAAATCTGGATGCTTGATATCAACCTGCCTTGTGATGCTAATGATCTCGAATTTGAGAAAGAAGTATTCACCGAAACTGTCATTAGTAAGACAAGATCTACGGCGGAAGCAGATTCTAGAAATCAAATTGATCTGAACTTCAGTATGACTGAGGATGAAGAATCATACATAACTCTTCCAAGTGGCAATACAAATATGAAGGCAACAATAGATTTGGAAGCCGTTGCTGTTCCCGAGTCAGAGGAGGATCTCGTTCTGGAAGAAAACAAACTCGAAACTTCTCTGGCATCCCCGCAAGTTCCACAAGACGCTGTTGAACAGCCATCGGAAGAACTTATGAGAAATGCGGCAGAAGCAATTGTTGTCCTTTCATCACTTTCCCGCGACCAAGTGGATCCTGTGATCAACAATCCATCGGAAAATGAATCGGTGGATCCATTGAGTTGGTTTGCGGATGTAGTTTCCTTGTGTGAAGCTAACCCCGAGAGCAAGTGCGATAATTCGAGAGGAAAGGACAAAGAGGATGATGAAGAATTGGATTATTTCGAATACATGACATTAAAACTTGAGGAGACCAAAGAAGAAGACTACATGCCGAAGCCTCTCGTTCCAGAAAACTTCAAAGTGGAAGAAACAACAAGTACTCTACCTACTCGGACGCGAAGAGGGCCTGCAAGGAGAGGGAGGCAGAAGCGAGACTTCCAAAGGGACATCCTTCCGGGCCTCGTATCTCTATCAAGGAATGAAGTAACAGAAGATATTCAAACCTTTGGAGGGATTATGAAAGCAACCGGTCATTCATGGCAATCAGGACTAACTAGGAGAGCCTCCTCAAGGAAGAGGGGGAGGCCAAGGCGGCAAGTGCAGGTCACCCCTTCTCCCTCTCCGTCTCCGCCGCCTGTGACCACCAACGAAACCAGCACCCCACTGATGCAGGAGCTCAATAACATTGAAGTGGCGTTGGAAGAAAGAAGCCTAACAGGTTGGGGAAAAACAACTCGAAGGCCTCGCAGACAAAGGTGTCCGCCGACTGGTAACCATCCGTTGATTCCAATAACATAGTCATCAAAAGAGGCTTAAAATTTTAAATGAGGATTCATAGAAGCAAGCATTGTTAGTTCCGTATTTGATTGAGCACGTGATGTACTCAAGCATGGCGCGATTTCTCTTGTAAATTTCTTCAACCTGATTTCGGGTATAAGCTTGATTGTTATCAGTCTTTAGATGATACCAACTCTTGAATAATGTTGCATGATTTTTTCTGATTTTATATTTATAGAACCGTTTAGATATATTATATACCAGTGCTCTCTATTTGGTGCTATCACTTTTTGTTGGATTTTTAGTAATGATTTTCTGGTTACACTTAGTTGCACATAATGTTAGTACATTAGAAGGAATAATATAACTCATTATTCTTTAATAAAAGATTAATCACTATTAGAAAATTACATCAGTGTACAAATAATTATGGACCAATGATTATATTAGTCTGAGCAATCTAATCTATACTATAAAACAGTTGGAACCGTTGGATTATAAATAAAATAAAAGCATACAAATATAAAAAAGTACAAAGTATAACAGTTGTGCAAGTAATGTTATCCGTACAATAATATGAAGAATCAATAAACCAAAGATAAATTGAATTGCTAGTACTTTTTGGAAGACTAAAAAAAATGCTTCTGTTTTTTTCTTTTACTTTTCTTTTCCTTTAATTCAGAAAATAGAATGAAAAGGGTATGGTCTTGATTGATTTATTTTCTGACCTGCTGCATTTCAGATTTGTTCACATGGTCAATACAAAAAAGGAAAAAGTAAAAATTACAAGATTCCTAAATTTATTATTTGCAGAATGTGCACATGTTTCTCCGATTTCACTATTTTTATTTTACCCATTATACATAATTTTTCTATAAATATTATTTTATTTTATTTTTAGGAGGTTTATTGATGTCACAACAAATGCATTAGAAAGTTGATGTGACATTTTTTTGTCTTCTTGAACTGGTGTTAATCTTTATTTTTAATTTTATATAATGAAACGGTCCAATTAACTTAAAAAAATTTTAATAATATGAAAAAGGAACAACACTGTACCTTTGGGGGAAAATGGGTAATAATATTATTTTAATTTTTAGGTTAATAAAATGGAAGTTTTGGAAAAAAGATGCTTGAAAAGGAAGAGAAATGAGAGTAACTCTTAACTACTTTATTGCCATAAGAGAGAATTGCCACTAACTTGAAAGTTACTTTAGAGAATGACACTTAGTTGTTTTCTTCTTCTTTATTTGTAGATAAAATTGTCAAATACATTATAAATTCACACACATACACAAAGTGTGAAAGATTCATAGTTTGAAATCGGAATGCCGTATAAAATATTCTACATAATATTACCATTAACAGTTGAGTTAAATTTTAGAAATTATCTACATAATTTTTTATTATGAAAAGTGAGTTTTTAGCATTATAAATTTAAAACTGGTTCAGCTATTTTTCTTTTCAAAAAAAGGAAGAGTTTATAGCATTATATTTTTTAGTTAAAGAACTTTACAAAGATTTTTTTTAATAATGAAAAATTAATTTAAATAAATTTTCATTATATATTCTTTTAAGTAATTGAATATCAAAATTTTAAAAAATTACTTAAGTTTAAAATTATTTTTGAAGAATACATTTGGAAAAATTATTTAATTTTAACTATATTTTAACTATCAATAACGTGTATTTATGTTAATACATGCCAAATTTAATTTTTTTTATCTATAAAAAATAAATTAAAAATAAAATTTACTATTTTTAGAATTATTTTAATTAAAATAATTTTCAAAAATATAAAATATATTTTATTTTTAAATTAAAACAAATGAATTCTAAATATACTTGATGTATTTTATTTGGATGATGTATAAGTTTTAAGAAAATAATTAATTGTGTTTATATAATAAAATGTTTTTATTATTAATGTAATTAAATTAATTGTTATTAAATTAATTGTAATAAAATAACACTAGAGTATATTATCGCTAAGAAAACAATAAATGATGTTTTCTTTTTATTATTTTTTAAAGTTAAATATTTTTAGTCAGAAAAAGATTATAAAAGAAATATTTACAACGAAACAAGGAATAAAGTACTTAGTTGTAATTCAATGTTTTAGAATGGAAGTTGTGTTCGATTTAGGTGTGTTCAATCTAGTTGAAATAGTAAGTCAAATAAGTGTAAATTGTATTCGACGTAGTCAAATACAATATGTAGTTGTCATATTGAGTAAGCATGTTGTTGCGGTGAGAATAAGATATCAAATTATTAATTAATTTGAATCGCAAATCATTAATTCACAACCGGTCTTTGATTTATCCGAAGAAAATGTCAAAGAAAGGAAAAATCTACTTTTTGCATTGTAAACAATGCGGGGAGAGATCTAGGTAAGGGGTTGGTTAAGCCTAGGGAAGGTATTAACACCCTAAGTTTATGTACTATTCTACAGGAACCTCTTGTCTAAAGTTTACTATTTTGCTTGATTATCTGCTTTAGGGTATATGATAAGGGTTAAAGGTGAAAGAGAGACCTAAGGGTTAGTCCTAAGTTTACTCGCCAAGATTCGCATCTTGTGCCTACGTATCCGAGGTAGGGGATGAAATCAAAGTAATCGTAGTTCCCCTTGAAAGGGAGGTTAGAAACTTCTTGACTTTGGTTAAGGTTTCAATAGGGGAATAAACGTTCTTAAGGAAGCGCTTACGTGGAGTGCGGTGACTCCAATCTCTACGTTGTAAAATTTGCATTGAAATTTGGGTTAACTAGGTATTCCACGGCGAGAAACCTAAAACGGAGTACGGCGACTCATTGACCTAATGCTAGGGTAAAGGGTACTTCGGTCCACGGCGGGACGCCTACGCAATTAGGGTTTTGAATGAGTCAAAGGCAAGGACTATTGACACGGCGGTCAAACAGTTAGACCTAATCCTTCGGATGGTTTAACGGTAAATAATGTAACGGAAAATGATTAAGCGGCAATATGAAAATATGGAAAAGTGCGAAAGCAATAAAAAGGTAAGGCGACGATACACTCGCATAAATTACAACCCAAAAAAAAATAAAAAATGCAAAAAATACGAGGAGTTTAGCAATTATACAACCGGGAACAGGGAAGAACGACATAAGCGTTATACAACCTTAACAAGGTAATTAGCGGACAAATTTAAATCACAAACTGAAATCGAGGTGTTAGCCATATCTCAAAAAACGGGTGAAAATTAATTAAATCCATGATAAAAGAGTTTCATTTCCTAAGTTAAAATTTTAAGAGTTTTTCTTAGGTGTTATAAATTAATATTTACAACAATTTAGGATTTTCAATTAGAAAAGAAAAAGAAAAAAAAATATCAACAAAATAATAACTAAATTAAAGACATATTAGATTTGTTAAAAAAAGTTAATTTTAAAAATTACATTTTTTTATCTTTGAATTGATAATTAAAATTCCAAATAATATTTTTAAATTAAATTTTAAAAATAGTTTTAATTTTAATTTTACAAATTGGTTTTAGTTTTAAAATAATTTTAATGTTAAGTGTTTAAAAAAATGATTTTTAATTTTAAGTTTTAAAGAGTTACTTTTAATTAAAAATGTTAAGTTTAAATTATTTTTTTGAGATTAGAAGTTCTTTTTCTTTAAAAAAAAATGTTAATTTGAGATTATATGAAAAATTAAATCTTTTAAATAAGAAAATTTTCATTCCCAACTAAATTTTTAATTTTAATTCTTTAAAGATTAATTTTTATTAAAAATTGGTTTTAATTACTAAGTTTGGAAATGGATTTAATTATAAAAAATATTACTAACTATAAGTTATTAAACAATTTTACTAATTAGAAATTATTACCTAAATTACTAATTAGAATTTATTAAAATGAATTAATTATAAGTTATAAAAAATTAATTAAATAATAAGTAAAAACACTAAATTACAAAAAAATAAAATAAAATATAAATGATGAAAGGGGAGGGGGGAGACAGTCAATGTTGTAGAAACTTTTACTAGGATTTTTATTACCCTATTCTTCTTCCTCTCTAACAGCCGGCGGCGGACCTTCCTTCGTGGGAGTTCGCTCTGAAATTTTTCACTTCTTGCTTGCATGCATGTTGTGTGTTCGTCTTCCCTTGTTCTTTTCTTGCGAGTAAAAAACATGAAACCGTTATCGAAAATTAGTTGCTCGCCTTTTTTAGTGGGTTCGAATCGGCTTGTTCTCGTAATAGCTACGACGCTTATGGACGATGATGAAGAACCGTAGATCTTCTGAGTCCACGGTGGCGATTCGATTCTCCTTTCTCTGTTCTGATGGAGTGATCTGATGAAGTTTTCTCCTGGATGAACACGATGAAGTTCTGGGTTCTTTTTTTTTTTTAACCTCTTCCCTTTTCTCCTTTTATATTCTGCTGGGTTTTTTTTAAGTTCTTATGGGCTTGGATTCTTAAATTGTTTTGCGATTTACTCGGATCTGTTGCTGTTATTGTGTTTTTGTGGCTTAATTTGTTATGATTTTGGCGATTTTCAGGCTTTGATTTGTTTTGGCTTGAAGGGTTTTACTGTTGGAAGATTCTTGTGTGATGGTTGTTACGTTTTGACCGGCTTATTTGATGTTGTTGCGAAATTGTTGTTGGAATATTGAAAAAGTGGTTCTTGATTTTGTTGGATAGCTGTGTGACTCGGTCTTGCTGGAATTTTGGCTTGATTGTTAGTTATGGAGATTTTTTAAGGACTGTGTTTGTGGGTTGTTTGGCAGAGGTCATTTTTCATAACAGATGTTGTCACTTGCCAAAATCGCTTTTCCTGAAAGTCACTTTTTCTCACCTCTCTCTCTCTCTCTCTCTCTCTCTCTCTCTCTCTCTCTCTCTCTCTCTCTCTCTCTCTCTCTCTCTCTCTCTCTCTCTCTCTCGGAATAAACAAAACAGATGTTGTCGGATTTGCCAAGGTCGGAAAATAAGTCGGGAGCTGGCTTCGACTTCGTCGTTGCCCTTCCGACGTACCCGATGATGAAATTAAACTGAGGGTATC